TTAATTATCTAAAAACAAGTTTGTAACTTTGTGAACAGTTTTCTACTCTTGAATTTTGAAAATTAGTTTAAGAGCTACAAATCAAGCAAACCTTTACTTCTAATGCCGATTTTAAATGGGCCATCCTAAGCCATACATTAGGCAGCTCAATTTAGGGCCATTGTTTGCCAGCCATTTGGATCAGCCCTTGGTCTGCCTTTTCGAGTGGATTGGATCTGTCCGCCTATAGGATCCATCTGGTCCATTAAGCTAGAACCAAATCCATCTTAATTGGGCCATCTTGAAGGATTTGGATCATTTTCTTCATCCATACTTTCATTTAAAGCATTAATTATTATTACATTATACTCTGCTCAACTTGTCACCAATAATGTAAGAACGTGGACCAATGTTAGGTTATCGAGTTTTTTTTTTATTCCGTCCCGTGATAAATTATTAGATGGTTCTGGTCCGTTAATATTTGGCAGACCAGTTAACTTCAGACTCTCGAATTGAGAAAATGGTCCCATGAGATTATATTAATAATAGTATATTACCAAAAAATCTCAACATGAACTTTTATTGAGTTAGTCCACCACGTGTCAAATGGATCAGGATCATCTAGTAATTTCTCCCGTCCAGGACAAAACATTATTACATTGTCTCGGGATCATTGGTCCGGCGATACCTAAGCAAAAAGTTGAATAAAACTTATATATTTTTGATATATTTGTTTAAGTGTCAAATGTGATTGGCATGTCCTGAACCATGTAATAATTTCTTGTAGACTTTGATTGCCACCACAATTGAATCATAATTGGGCCATTTCCAAATCAAGTTTTTACTTGCTCACCTTGTTGGTCTCATGATCCAGTGGCCTGACAATAAATGAATTTCCAATTATCAGGTCCGAAACTCTTAAGACAATATCTGTAATTGCAAACCAAGCCCATTCCATAAAGGGTTATTTGGGCCACACGGCCCATATTTTTGAACGGGTGTAAAGATTTGAGATTTTGGCTTCTCTGAAACTGAAAATCTAACATGTATTGGAGAAAACATCTATTTTTCCAAAAATGTTCATAGTACTCTCCAAAATACTAATTTTTTTTTTATAGAATGTAAAAATACTTCATGAAACTTTCCCAAATTAACAACTGAAACTCAATTGCAAAACAATAAGTGTTATATGTAAACCTCAGTGTGTAAGAGTCTGAATTCTCTGCTTAGCGGTTTTAGTGTTGCAGTGCATTTAACACAATTAAATTGTAATTCAACACATTATAATAGTGTCAAAACGATCGGAGCTTAAATACCATTTTTTTAGTTTCTACAACACTACTTCGAATACTATTGTTTTTCGTTTCTGCACTATCCCTTCGAGTTAGAAATAATATGTCAAATTGCTATTTAATTGTATTCAGCGCACTGTAGTTCGTTACAACACTATACTTGTTACAGTAAAGGATCTTGATGCGTGTATATAAATACTTATATATTCACAGTATACATGTGTTTGGATAGTTACATACAAATTTACATACTTGCATATAAAATACATTAAATAATTGCACTCATATAATGCACATTGTCACATTTACAAGGGTCAAATTAATAGTATTTGAATTGGTGGAGGCCCCTAAAGAAATCTTGGTTAGGGCCAGGAAATCAATTGCAGCTACCATATGGTGTGTTTATGTTGCTAATAAGCCGAGATTCCATGAAAACTCGACCTTAAAAAAGTGTTGAGATTACCAATGTAAACATAAAATAAGAATTACAATCACAACCAACATATATATATATATATATATATATCATGACATATATTAGTAAATAGAGTAATTAAGACCACACAACACATGCATCTCGAAAATGGATCTTCATATTCATATATAACCATGTACGATGCTCATTTAATGCTTGCATTGGACCTCTCATGTTTCTCCTTCTAAGGTGGTGAAAGATGTCTGTTTTTTCCTCATACTTTATTTGTCTCAATTTTTTAGGAAAAACACAATAACCAAACAACAAGGTTCTTCCCCTCCCTCCATTCCAAAGCTTAGGGTTTTGAAACACATAATTGATGGGAAAAGGTCATTGATTTAGGTGCTAGCTACCACCTATTTTCACAAGTTGAAAGGATATCAAGAAGTACAAGATTCAAACTAGAACATTCTTATTATGTCTTTCTTTCAATGAATAAGACACATCACCATTGTCCAACAAGAACTCTTAATTAGTAATGAAAAAAAAAAAAACAAATTCTCTCCCCTCCAAAATGTTTAAATTAATGAGAGACGCATGAGTCGGTTGTTACATTGATGGGGTACTACTATCATTTTCTTTCTGATCCATCAACATAAATAATTCTTTAATCTATAATAAATCATGTTAATTAATTTTAAGAGAAAGTCTAGTGACAAAATACGTTCAAACTTCCTTCAAACATAAATCAATAATTGTCTGATGCATATAAAACGAAAATAACAAGTATGTCTAATTATGAATTATACAGTGTTCTAAGAAGCTTAATATTATATATATATATCAATTACAATTTATCAAATGTCACTGTCATAGACAATCATGGTTACATTAGGGGTAAATTGGTCTTTTGGCAAACTAGGCTGTCCATTTTACCAAGAAAGGAAGGTGCTAAAGTGTATGATAAGCATGCATGGAAAGGACAGGAAAGTTTGATTGCTTTGATCAAGAAGACAAGAAAAGAACCTTGGAATCATGTGAAAGGCAATTAATGCAAAGAGTGGGGATAGAACTTAGGGGTTCTACAACTACAGATTTCAATATTAATCTCTCTCGAAATGGGTTTTATTTTAATAGTCTCTACAACTTAATTTCAAGTCAGTGTCTCATTAATGACTTTGTTGCACTTTTTTATGTCAATTTTTTTTTTTTTTTCTCATTATTATTATTAAATTCGTGGTGAGATTAATTTCAATATGATATGTCTTGATGCCCTAATGTGACCAAACAAGTCACGATAACATGCAAAAATGGTAAAATAAAGTTTCATTTATGACTTGGAGAAAAGTTACTGTTTTAATTTGAAATTTATAATTTGGGTAATTTTTTATGGCATTTTTAATAACTGTATTGTTGCATTACAAAATTTGATTTATAATATCATTAGAGATTGTTTTATATCATTCATTGTTGAAAAAGAAAAAGAAAAGGGGAAAAACTGATTAAGGTGGTCCGTGCCCAGCTAGTCAAAAGAGAGATGGGTCACAAAATGATCTATATATATATATATATATGTATGTATATATGCATGTATGACAGAAAGGCTCCTCTTTTTTCTTCTTTTTTTTCTTTTGAGTGAGAGAGTACGTGTGTGTTTTTTTCACATGAATATTATTAAATTGTTGACAAACATTCAGGCGGCTAAGTTTTTGCCTGGACCAACCTTTTTTACAGGAGCTATTAACTTTTCCTAGTTGAATTGAATGAATATGATCAAAAGCATTTTATTTTATTATTTTTTGAAGGATAAGGTACAACTTTCGTGTAGAATGACTAAAGAACATAATTTTTTTTTTTTAGTTTTAAAAATAATATTGACCACCAATGTAATTCAAATCAGAGTAATACTTGCGTTCTCTGTCAAAATATTTGTGGCTGAAAAAATCTAAAAATCTAATTTTGCTCTTAAAACGCTTAAAAAGGCATTCTTGTTCATATGTTATAATATTAAAAGTAGAAGGATATAATAATTATTTTATACATTCGATAAATCACCTACACTGAGGAGAGAGATAAATATTAAAAGTACAACTCTGTTTTATATCCAGAAGGGTTCATGGTTCCTACTAAAACTTTCTCCCAAATATGCACATTTCATTTACTACATGAATCTATATGCAATTAGTCTCTCAATTTGACCTATGTTTTGTTTCATGCTTTCATGATTAGAGCTGGCCAAATCCAACCTCAATCCGCTCACTTGGAACAATTTTTTTTTTTTTTTTTTTTTTTTTTTAAATCTGAAATTGACTTAAATATCTTGACTCTTTTCAAATGTTTCTCCCACCCAAAAAAAAAAAAAATTCAAAGTCTATGGTTCGGCGTATCACCCGATACGCGATCATTTTTCAAATTCGATACACGATTCGTATTGGTCAATTTACAATGACTTTATCCCAGTCCGTTACACTTCGATCAGGACCGATACCACGACAACCCAAATCATTTTCCCTATAACTAATTTTCGTTGGTGCATCCAGTCAACAACATAACACCAGATCAATAATAATAAAAAATAAAAAATAACTGTTATTTATGGAATGCACTAACAAAATCAGTTATTAGCGGAAAGGATCTTGATCATGTCTATAGATCTCACGTCAATAAATAATAAAAAATTAAAAATTAACTGTTATTTACAGAATACACCAACAAAATTAGCAATTAGTGAAGAGGATCCTAAACTGTCTACAGCTATCTTCTAATTTATATGTAGTTATATAAACAATTATGTGGCAATGGTGACGAAATACTGTGACCAAAAGTAAGAACAAAAGAAAAGGTTGATGGATTGGGTCCAAAATTTTGGACCCGCACAAATATGGTCCAACCATAAGATGAACAAGCAAATCCTACGACCTAGTGTGATCAGATGCTTCCAAACACTGCTTAATTGACCCACCCCGACAGGTCTAGTCTGCCCATTAATTGGTTCTGCCAAATGATTCCAAAACTGATCATTGTTTTATATATAACTAAGTTTTTCTTTCTCATCTCATATATTACATACAACTAATTTAATCACACTAAATTAATTATTTACTGTATTAATTAGGCCTTTTCTCGATTATTTTAACGCGTCGATCTATTGTACACTACTATAGGTTCACAAGTCCCTTACCTAGCTATTATAAATATGGACACACACTACTTCAATTCTCTACAACTGGTTTTAAAAACCTGTCTTCTAGTAACCATCTTTCTTTTCCTCTTCCTCTTCTCTCTTTCCTTCGTCACCAAACAAACCTAGAAAAATGGGTGGAAATTCACCCTGTGCTTCCTGCAAGCTGTTACGGCGTCGATGCGCCAAGGACTGCATTTTTGCCCCTTACTTCCCCTCCGACGACCCCCATAAGTTCGCCATCGTTCACAAGGTCTTTGGTGCTAGCAATGTCAGCAAAATGTTGCAGGTACGTGTGAACATTGACTCATTCTGTTTAACGTCTGTTCGGGTTTGGAGTCTATTTGTACTTCAAGACTTTGGACAGGGTTTGAGACCTGGAATCTTACTTGGACGCGTTTGTTTGGTTGTTTTGCAGGAGCTTCCGGTTCATCAGAGAGGGGATGCAGTGAGCAGTCTAGTCTACGAAGCGAATGCGCGGATGAGGGACCCTGTGTACGGGTGTGTTGGCGCCATATCTTACCTGCAAAACCAGGTGTCTCAGCTCCAAATGCAGCTAGCAGTGGCTCAAGCAGAGATACTTTGCATCCAGATGCAACAAGAGACTCCCATACCAACCACTCCACAGATAGTTGACTCAGATCATCATCATCATGACGCGACAACATCTTTTTATCTCCACAACAACGTTAACCTCCCTCAGTACCTCAACTTTGCCTCTTCTAGCAATGTAATCCATGACTCTCTCAAAAGAGAGCCTCTCTTTGGACATGACATGGTTTCTTATACTTGAATCAATGCTTTCATCTCTTTTTGTCCTATAATAATGATCAACATATGTGCATGTGTGTGTGCAAACACACACTGTGCGAGTGTGGTTATTTATTTAATTCCCAATACCAGTTATAAGAAGATAGGGCAGTAGGGTTGTGTGTGAAAACAAAGGTAAGATAATGGGGTCAACTGTAGCATGTGTAAGTGTGACAAGTGAGATTTATAGAATATATGCGAGTAAATTTTGTGTTAAACAAATGAATTAGGTTACTTGGTATGTTAATCTATAGGTCAATGTACGAGGGTCGGTGCCCTCTCAACCATATATTCTATATATATATATATATATATAACTCAGCAATTACAAATTTTTCTATCAACCAGTCATTTTATGAACCATTAATTGGCAATTCCTTGAAATCTGATTGGTTATTGTTAATCTAAATTGAGAAAAGCAATTTGGGATACAACTCAATCCACAACCATAACCCACTCTGTTTCTGAAAAGTGACTTGATTAAGACTTGAGAGCTTCTCTGGTTAATAGTTGGTTGACACATTTCTCCTTAGAGGGAGATCTGGATTTTAGGGAACTCATTTATGAAAATTTGTATTTTTGTCACTTAAGTTGGTTTTTCCAAACATTTTGTTAGTACTTTATATTCATTTGATGTCACAACTTTTTTTTTTTTTGGTTGCCATTCAATTTTAGGCAATGTCTATTGACGGCTGGCAATTACACTTTTCTTTTCTCATCGCATTACTTATTTCTAAAAGTGGGTTTTGGCATAATGATAAGGTTGCTCAACTGTCCTACAAGTCACGGATTTAAAACAACGAAACAATATATCTGCACAGAAATGTAAGTCTACATATATTTAACTGAAATTTTATAGAACTAGCCTTTTTACTAAGTTATATTTATTTAGCCAAAATGAAGTGGTAAATAAAGTGAGCTTTCCCGCGTGTTAAATAATGTAGTAGAAAATTATAGAAGTACCATATATATATATATATATATATTACATATGCAATCACAATTCTTTCTAGCTAGTTCACGTGGGAGGCAGTGTGAGGAAGTGCTCAGTTCATGGGGAGTGTATACAAGGACAACTTGTATCTTATTTTTCTAAATGAAAGTGATAACATGCATGTTTTTCTAAAGTCCATCTCTCAGTACAATTATGTGTCGAATCATTGTATTATTTCAATATTAAAAAAAAAAAAAAAAAAGTGAAGGAAGAAAAAACAGAGGCAACAACTGATCTAAAAAGATTCCTCCTCATACACTTTGTTTAATGTGTAAGCATTTCCCAAGTCAAACTCGAATATTTTTATCTAGTATCATCACCATCAACCCCTTCTTTGAGTGTGTCTACAGTCACCTGGCTTTGTCATTTTGTTATTATTTCATAGCACACTGTCTTCTCCTAAATTCCATTAGGGATCAAGTTGTTCTAAGCCCTTCTCACGAAACAGCTTGAACTTTCTTGGAATTTAAAGATAGAAGAAACTGTAGTCCCGTGGTACTTGCTCGTTTTTTCAAACGAGCATGTGAATGTGTGAGTTTCTTGCCATTATAAATAAATCACAGCATTTTCTTGCAATCCTATATATGTTGACTACTATAGAATTAATAAATGGTTTGTAACATAAAAGAAGAATTTGTTTATAAACTTTGAAATATATCACTCATGAAAAGAATCAGAGTTGGTGAAGTAGAGGGAAAGGGCATGTTTGTTTTACTAAACAAAACATTTTAGGAGTATTAGGTCTCCAACCACTGTCATTAGGACACAACATAGTATTTGACCTCAATGATGCTAGTGAATAGCAGTTTCACTTACAGAAGATGAAAAAAAACAAAAAAAATGCCCGCATTTTAAGTTTCTCGAAGGTTTCCTGCAGTAGGGTCATGGCGGCATTTTGAAGTTTAACAACTACCAATGTTGTATTGTGTGGAAAAGTTGAGCTATAAATTATACAGTCAATACATGAAACATTTTTATATGCAAGCTAGAATTCAACCAAGATTCAACATACATTTTACAATAGGTTGTCTACGTGACACTAACCCACCTCATTTTCACATCCGACGGCAATGGATGAGTCAAAGATAAAATAGGTAAATAATTAGAAAATAAATATTAAGTATTCATCCAAGATTTAACATACATTTTACAATAGGTTATCTACTTGACACTAACCCGCCTCTTTTTCGCATTTGGCGGCAACGGGTGAGTCAGGATAAAATAGGTAAATAATTAGAAAATAAATATCAAGTATATAGAAAATACTCATAATCTTCCATTGAAGTATGAGATGGAGAAGGTATAGAAGAGTGAAGTGGAGTTAAAAATATAGGGAGGTAATAAAATGAAATTACATAAGAAGACAAAGCCATCACATTTTCATCTATACCTTTTTTTTTTTTTTTTTTTTATGTTTTTGTTTTTTCTGGAGACTAGGAAGAGTTTAGAAGACATTTCACAATTTGAGTGCTCGAGGTTAATGCTTCCAAAAGAAGGTTGTTTGGCTTTCAAATCACTTTCCCCCCTTTTGGTGTTTCCTCTTTCCTCTCTCTCTCTAAGTGATACTTAAAGATGTTGGGGGCACTTTGCTTAGGTATGAAAAGATTCCAAAAGGATTGATTGGCTCTAATAACTTAAATTATTCAAGTGACTCTAGGACTCATTGACCAATCACAATATCCCATACCCAAGTACAGAAAGTGCCATATCATTCTACAAATAACATCACATTTTTTTTCCTATCCTTTCTTAGTGAGAAAAGCAAATCATTTTTAGTTACATAAATCTGCTTTCTAGTAAAAGATGAAATATTCTCCCACACTATGATGCCCATATCTGAAGCATCCCTAGGTCCAATAAAAGGGTGATTAGATTGCCCCTAGTTTATTACTTTTCCTAATAATTTTGTATAACTAGGAAATCTCTCCCCCTCGGTTTTAAATCTTTAAGGATTAGAAGGGTCAGAAAAGAAGATTGAGACACTGATTTGGGAATTTGTGTGAAAGAACTCAGAAATTTCCCCCCCTCTGTGTCTCTCTCTCTCTCGTGTCTATATGCATTAAAATTACTATTACAATGAAATGACCACATTGCCGTTGTGGAAAATGCTAATTACAGTAAATATTCTAACAAAATCATTGTCATCTTACCTAAATGTGCCTCTCTCTCGTGTCCATATGCATTAAAATTACTATTACAATGAAATGACCACATTGCCGTTGTGAAAAAGGCTAATTACAGTAGATATTCTAACAAAATCACTGTCATCTTACCTAATTGTGCCACCCCTTTTGAGCTCAGGTTCCAAAGGGACTTCTCTACTGCGTTATCTAGGTTGTACTTGGATATGGACCAAATAGTAGACCACTAGAAACAACTAGTCTTGGATTCAATTTTCTACACAATCCTTCTTTAACATGCTTTTCTTGTATATTAAATTACTATTCGAAATATTTTAATTACATCTCACTAAAATAGACTTTCTGTTTCTATACACCTATATTTTGTATTTCTCTCTCCTTGTTTCGTCAGTGTTTTATTTTCCTATCATTTTCTGCAATGTGTGTGTGTGTATGTAGTTATCGATCATACTAAAGAAGAGAATACTAGTTTTACCAATATCTAGTCACTTAAATTAAGAAGAATCGTTGCAGTCTATCTGATTGTCGTCTAAATCGTTTGTCCTGCACATTTTGACCCATCAAAAGAAGAAATATAAAGGAATTTTATTCACTGAAACAAGATTGTTGTGGAGTAAACTGTGTATTTGGTTATATGGTTAAGAAAGAATGGTGCCTAAATTTGCGGTAGAATAGATTATGGATGGTTAAAGAGCGCTTTACAAAAGATTGAAGCTTCGAAACTTGGAACTTCTCTCAGTTGCAATCCTAATTTAGGATTTTAAACACCAGTGATTTCTTTTGCCAGTTTGTATATTAAAATGCTTGTAGGAATTTTGAACACTATGTTTGTCCTTAGATTTCTTAAAGTTTTTCCAGATGTTCGAAAAAAGATTAGCATATTTGTTTCTCAATTACTCCACATGGACACGTCTTTGATTTTATTCACAAGCATAGTCCAATAATTCATGTGTCAATCAGGTTATGTCAATTTCTACAAAAGGCTAAAATGTAGGAAGAAAGGAAGTGCATCACATGAGACTGCAGGAGGAGATTCGAAAAATGCAAGTAAAAAGGCAGTTCAAATAGATTCTTCTCTACAAGCAATGATGCAAATTATTGGTAACCATTGATCCATAGTTTGGAAAGCAAGTTATCGAAAAGTCAACTTTATTTCGACTCAAATTCAATTGAAATTTATTGCCATGCTACAAGTCTACAACATTTGGTAGATACAAGCAACTTAAATCATGCTCACACGGAAGAAAAACAACTAGAAAGCAACAACTTTTACTAACCTTAACATATGAAAATGAAATGACAGGAGAATCATATAGCTTCTGGCAAGCCCCTCTCAAAACACTTGAATAAAGGTCACAAACCTACATTTGTGCCACTTCAAGATACTCATTATAGCCGCTTTCAAGTTTAAACAGCTTGATTTGTAGTTCCTCGACAACATAAATGTTTATTTCCAATTGACCTTGAGTAAGGGTCCTGGATACCTGATAATATGAAGTCCATTCGATATATTGGCCCCCAACTCGCCATGAAGTAGATGACAGGAAATCTCAGTTATGTGCATATACTGACTGATATCACCAAGCACTGCAAAATGTGCCGATAGACCGTGAACTATGAAATTATCTTTCCTATTTGATCCAGATTCTACTTTCGGTCCATTAGGTTGAGGCTTTGAGAGAGAGCATACATTGTTAGTCTCCGTAGATGTATTCATTCGTTGGGGGCAGTTTTGGGCTTTATGACTCAGAGAGGCATGATCGTTTTACTGAATTTGCTTCAGAGCTGGTTCTCGGTAAGCAAGTAAGCAAGGTTCTTCCCCAGGATGCAGTAAATACCGACATCTCTTTCTTGGTAGAGAAAAGCTCCAGAGAGGCATGCCTTCCATTTGATTTCAACTGCACAAAGAAGGGATTGATCAGTGTACAAATGGTCCAGATATTAGGTCGAAGAGAAATAATCCTTTTTAATAAATTACAATCATGTTCAGAATAACACAAATATTGCAGTAATTTTTTATATTCCTAATTGCCTGAAAGTTATGCTCTTCCTGGCATAACATTTAGTAAGCTTGGTTTTCACGTTTCATCAATGTAGTTTCTACGTTACCCAATCGCATTGGATGAGAGAGAAAATCAATATAACTATGCAGAAATACAGAGAATAAAGTAACCTTAAAGCAGGAAACTGCCACCCCATAAGCACGAATTAATTTCTTTGCTGGACAAGGAATACAATATCTCATGCTCAAAAACGAAAAAAAAAATAAAAAATCATGTAACAAGATGTTCCCTTACAAAACCAACTCTTTTAAGTATAAACCCGATCAAAATGGTAATTTGAGACATAATTCCAAATTTATCTCCACAATGGCTCAAATTCTCAATGCAGTTATCAACTTATCACTTTTCATAATTATCATGATCAAAATCAAGTTGATTGATTGACTAATCATGATTTCATAATTATATACCTCATCATGATTTCATAATTATATACCTCATCATGATTTCATAATTATCATGATCAAAATCAAGTTGATTGATTGACTCCCTACAATCAAAATTCAGTTGCAGTTATTGAGACTCCTTGCATGCTCTGTATTTGACCCGTATCTCACAATCAATTCTCGATCCATATAGAACCACACTCCCCACAATGAATCTTGGGCTTTGATGGGTACCAATAAGCTCTAAAACAGGTTATGGCTTGGTTACGCAATGTGCATCCATATCAGGATTCAATCATAAATCATTATAGAGGATAAAGTACACACAACACTGGAAGGAAACTATCAGCACATAAACTTGAGCCCTGAAACAAATCCCATCTCCCTACTTCTCAGTACTCTTCCCATTTATACCCCACTTCTTCACAAGCTCTTGTATAATCTCTCTCACAAGTCTCAACCTATTTATGGGATTTGAGACCAATTATACAATTTATTCTGCTTAAAAATTTCCAAACCATAAGGAAACCTATGTTCAATAAAATATGATTCAAAATTACCAACAAAGAAAGAAAAGTCGTCTTAAAGAAAGAAAAGAAATAAAACAGAGAAGACAACCATCTAGCTATCATTTGCCAAATTTTCATGAGAAAGCACTTCTTGGAAAATTAATGTATGAAATGGGAAAAAAAAAATTATTAAAACAAAAGACAAGCCTCAAGCTATCTTTTCTGAAACTGGAAATTGAAACATTTATCTAATAGTTCCTGATCTAGAACAAAAAATACAGAAATTCTTATGGATTTATTTTAGTGGCAAATAATGAAATAAAATGGTGGCGTATAGATATGGGACCAACTCGTAGAAGGTGGTGATGAAAATCCAAGGTACATCTAGGAGCACAAAAAATGCACAAGGGAACTTCTCCAGTTAATTATGCAATAAGCCTATCCCTTGTACAAATAATGAAATAATGAAAATAAATTCTTATGGATTTATTTTAGTGGCAAATAATGAAATAAAATGGTGGCGTATAGATATGGGACCAACTCGTAGAAGGTGGTGATGAAAATCCAAGGTACATCTAGGAGCACAAAAAATGCACAAGGGAACTTCTCCAGTTAATTATGCAATAAGCCTATCCCTTGTAGTGCACTAATGTTCACACAATATGATGCTCCTAATGTTTCATTTGTTTTCTCGCTTCTTAGGATCAAGAATCAAACAAAATATGCATTATGTATTAGATAATCAAAATGATGCATAATCAGTTTCTTCAAAACCAACAATTCTTTGACTCCGTTTTAGAATTATGTCCATCCATCAGATACTAGAAGATAGAATTAGACGTTGTGAAGAACATAGACTACAAGTTTGGTTCCTGAACAAATAAAATATATATATATATATACACTTAGATATCGTATCTGTTTATTAGTAGCAGCACACGTGCAGTGCGAGGATTCAACTTATGGAGAGCTCCCCAAAAGGTTATTACGCAAATGCTTGTCCCGCCTATGCAAAATGCTATAGTATATACCTAACCCTTGACATTACTTTTGCACAAAGTGCGTCTTTTCAGACTTGAACCAGCTGTCTGATGGTGGAAGCCCGAGTTTTTATCATTGAACCATGAATTCTGTGGATAATTCCCTTGAAGTATAAATCTAGACAAGATTACGTAGACGGACCAGTATGTTGATTTAAAAGTCCTAATATTCCTTATATTTACGTATAAAATATAAAGCATAATGCAAGACATTAAACATCATCCAAGATCAGATAACACATATATTCCATTTCCCACCACCATAAGTTCCCCTACCGGAAACATCAATACCATGTAGACATCAAAATTCCTATTGGTAACATTTAGGTTAGAATCATTGTGTATGTTACAGAAAAAAAATTCGGTATGCAAGAGAATTAAAATAATGAGAGAAACTTTGGAAAAGGAGAAATAGAAAACGCAAAATCTTTCTTTCAAAAGCATAGAATATGTATTTAAGAATTTACATTTTTCTCTATAGACCCTAAGAAGTTTTATTAGCTGACCAAAACAGATTCTCAGGTTCTACAAACAAGTACGTTCACCGAGAAGAACCCAAACTCTATTATATAACAAGTAAATGAGATATGGCAGTGAATTATATGCATTGTAGGTGAAACTAGGAAACACATTCTATTTCAAGCTGAGACCTTCAATAACAAACTCAATATACACTTGTAACATTTCATGAAGTATGAGGTCTCAAGCTCAATTCCTCCTAGTTGCAAACAATTCCTTAAGTCACGTCTGCGAACATAGTCCGAGCCTTACCCGATCCGTGTGAAAGGCGCCTTGCACGAGTCCCGTAGATTAGTCTTGGCAAAGTCCTAGACACCCTGATTATCGAAAAATTATAATGCATATTGGAAGAGAAAAAGAAAAGTACAAAAAAAAAAAAAAAAAAAAAAGAAGGAAAGAAAATATCACCAGCCAAGAAAGCCCAAAGAAAGAGCAAGCTTAGTCAAGGGCTCAGCTCACATTTTTGCAGACTCCTTCCAGAGGAGTGTGTCGGCACTGAATCTCCACCTCACTATGTGATAAAGTTCCAAATTTCTCATACAAGTGTTAGCAATATACGTATATACACATACAAATATATATGTACATGACTGGAGAAAATTTATATCATAACCAACAAACTTGTGAAATTGTGCATGATTAGAATTTCAGACTAAAAAAACCTCGTCAATGCGGTCAATGAAATAAAAGGGGAGAGAACAAAATTCAATATATATACAATTATGAGTAACCCAGTTTCATTTTCAACAATTCAATTTCCAATAAAAAATTGCTTATTTTTCTAGCTCTTTCTTTAAACAATTCAATTCAAGGTAAAATCAACTACCACAATTAACTTCTTTTTTTTCTTAAATTTTCTCTAACGGACCAAATCAAAATTTATAAATCCGATGTTACAGGACCAAAAACAAAATACACAAGCCGCCGTACCTGACGCCGTGCTAATGGGGTACGAGACTGGAACGGACTGTGATGGATTTGTTCAAAGTGGATGGTGAGGGTTGCCTCCAAAACGAGTAAAGTGGGCGGTGAAGATTAGAGCGAGTAAAGTGGGTGTGTGAATAATGTGTCAATGATAAAATATATATATATATATATATATATAAATTAATTAACAAAATAAAGTTATTTGAATTAACAAATGGTTTTAAAAATTTCTACACTTTAAAAAAGTGATCACATTATTTTAATATTTTGATCCATTAATCAAATTATAAAATAACAAATTTAGTCTTATTATTTAACGTTAAATTATAAACTATATATTATTTTTAAAACTTACAAAAATACTCTTTAAAATTACAATTTTTTTTTTTTTTTTGTAATTTTAGTTTTTGTAAGATTAAATTTTTTATTTCATAGCTAGGACATGGGTATTGAGATTGTATGATCACTTTTTAAAAGTATAAAAAAATATGGTAAAGTTTTAAAATAAAAATTTAAAAGTAATAAGAATTTTATAATTTTAACCCTTAAAAAAATTAAAATAACATATGAAAGGTGATTTAAGTTGACATAAAATCAAACTAAAAAATTGACTTAACCGGAGTAATCAATCACTCGTACAATACAACACATGCTTTAGAAGGACACAATAGAACATTCTACAAGAGAAATTTATTTTTAGTTCTCTTAACCTTACTTGGTTTTTGAGCCACATAATATATGTTTATCAAATTTAATTATTTATTTTTAAAAATATAATAAATTACATATAAATATAAAAAATTTACGACGTAAGATTTTAAGCATTATATTAGGACGCCTCAAATGCTATACAATATAGAGGGGGAATTTTTTCCATCCTATCACTAAATCAAGATCTTAAATGATCGCTAATACAATATACTTTTTTTCTATCTTAGTCTGCGATACAATTTTTTTTTATTACATTTTTTACTTCAAATTTTACCAATGCTATAAAAACATTTGATCAGTGAGAATGTATTTTTTATTTTTTTTTTCTTTCCTCAAAAATTTTAGCAAACATGAACTCATAATATTGCTCCAAACAACACTCAATTTTGTTTGACATGAACAAATTTTTCATTTTTCTTTTTTGTAAAATAAAATATTAAAACTATGTTCTTATAGGTAAATATTGAAAAGGCAAAAATCGATGATTCCTAATTTTGTTGTGGGCACGAAAAAATAGTTAAAAAAGAATAACCGAAACAATGTAGTTCATTGCATTAAAAGCAAACAAAAGAATTAATAAGAAGCTATTTACCAAAAAAAAAAAATGGATTTTATAGATTTATTGGCATATCAAAACGGCGCCGTATTCAGCAATTTAACCTGGAAATCACCGAAGTTTCCTTTTCTCCGTGTCGGCTCTACGCAAGAACTGAAACACGGCTGATTGGCGTCAAATTCAATTCGTTGCCGTCTCAACGTTTTCCCCAAGTATTCATCAGTTTTTAGCAATACAAAACACCATTTTAATCTCTTTGCTAAAATACAAAATCAAATATTCTTTTGGTTATGAGATTTTTGGAAGAAGAATGAGAATTGGGGCCGATTTACTGAAATGGCCTCTTCTTCTTCATCTTCTCACTCTAACGATTCTACACCGAGTCGGTCTCAACTCGGTGTCTGCGACATGCGAATTCAGTCTCACTGATGGCAACACGTTCTACAACTACAGCTTGGCATCTCCCATCCCTAAATTCCCCCACGGCGTCCTCAGCGAAGATGGGTACTTCCCTCTCTCTCTCTCTCTAAATTTCTCTCTCTCTCTCTACACACACACACACACACACACACACACATTTACACAGATATATGACATGCTTCTTGATTTCGGTATTAATTTGTGATAATATTGTCATTGCAATGAATTGTATATAGACCCTTGTGACAATAAATTTGTTTATTGTTTTAGTAGTTTGAGATGTTGGAAATTTCACACACACACACACAACAGTGCTTGTTTCATCAACATGGACTTTAAATAAACTAATCTTGGAGAAAATTAAGTGCCAACATTTTGGTAATTTAATTAGTTGAACAGTTTAATGCTCTCTGTTGACTTTAAGTTAGTTAAAAAGTCACTGGCGCTTGATAGTTCTGTGTAACCTAAAATATGTGGAATTTGCATTATAATTCAAGTTAATGTGTAGTTGATGATGACGAATGGCTACGTTATAAATAGGAAAATGCTATTTCCACAGAAATGGTGGAACATCAATCCTATCTCATGAAACCAAAGGCTGTGAAGCCTTCAGTGTCAACAGATGTCCACATGGTCTGGTCTAATTTGATGAACTATTAGTAGTGTTATTAATTTTATTTTTATCGAATTCAGGTTTTACAAGGTGGCGGTAAATCAGACTCTGCTCTGGTTTCAGGTTGGCTCTATCAGGTTACATTTTATTTCCATCTTTTTCAAGCGAGTTCTCTATTAGAATAAGCTTAGTTGCATCTACAAAGATTTGACAGTGTCTAAACTATATGCCTATCAGAAAAGGTCTATACTATCAATTTTCTTAAAATACGCACTACAATAGAGTTCTTGTGCGAGAGGTGTTGACAATTATTGAATTGCAAGCAATAAACTAAGTGGCTTGCAGGTTTATAAAGACAGATCCTGCTATGAAATATATTAGAACTGTGCTGAATAAACACTTTAAGAAGTTGTAGTGTATTTTTTAGAACCGTAGCAGGCATATAACTTGCTAAACTGAATGTTTTATGAAGAAAGCTTTTGATGAACTTTTCCCTTCAATCTTGGTTAAGATAACATGTTGCTTCATTTTAATTATTTTTCTTCTTTATTTCGTGCGGAGCAGCTTTGTGATGTGATGATTTTTAACCACAATCCGCCCACATGCGTCGACTGCAGGGTAAGTACTTCTCAAGTTCTATTTTAATTTTCTCTTTACATTATTTAGGGAGCATGTAGTAAGAAATGATAGGCACAGGTTTCTTACTCGATTACAATGTTATCATTTAATGTCGTAAACAATTTTTTTTTTTTTTTTGTCCATTAATTACAGTGAAGCTGAATTTATTTCTGCAAGAGTAATTTTTTCCTCAGTTTGCTTGTAAAAGTTGAAGATTTGGGGAAAAGGGCAGTGAACACCTGAACTAAATTTACATTTTAATAATGCAAGCTAATTTATTTGAGTTATAAATTATTAAATTATGCTTTCAGAAATGGACATAATCATAAAAGCAGTATGCTGATAGGTTCCAAATTTTTAAAAGCTGTAAGTGTGTCTATATATTTCTATAGTTAGTATAATATTTTAGAGCTATAATTTTGGATAATTTATTGAATAAATATGTAACTTCATTTTTCCTCATTGTAGTTTCTTAACAAAGGTGATGTTCAATTCACATTGACTATGCTATTGTAAAGCCACTATATTTGTTATTAATTCAGTTTTAAAATGATTATCGTAGATGAAATGGTTGCTCCAGTCAATTGAAAATGTAGTGAGCTCACATGCACTTACACACGAGTCTTCTTAATACAAATGGTCATGGGTTCAAATGTCCATTCTTAATATATCTGACACACTATTGATTATATTATCAACAGATTTAAATATTCTCTCACCATCTCAGGTTTATTGCATTTCCTGCTGAATTGGAAATCTTGTTTTGTATTGTAGGGTTGTGGGGGTCCATCACGCTGTGGCATGAATTGTAGTGCACTTGTGGCCAACAATATAGGAGGTAAACATTCTTTATTTTTTTTATGCATTAAATATTATATATTGTACTACATTTGTGATAGTTTCTTCAATATGATATTATGATGTATGGAAAAGTATTTTACTTGGTAATGTGTGTTGCATCAGATGATATTTATCACATATCACTGCCTTTAACTAAGAGGCTTACAAGGTGATTTTTTTACATGAAACAAAAAAAAAAAAATCTGTTTTTGTAGTAATTCATAATGAATCGAAAATTATGTAATTGCAAACAGATAACTTCTAATATGAATAGTGACGTAATTGATGTTTTGGTGGATAATATGAATAGTAACGTAAAAATAAGTGGTAAGAATGAACTTGTAACACTGTGTTTAGAATCCCAGGATTTTATGGGAATTGGATTTCAAAAGGGATTTGTCTTGTTTGGAATAATGGGATTTAAAAAAGGAATTGGATTTGAAGGGATTTCATAGGAAATATTGTAATGTAAGGAAATCCGGGGAAAAATGAAGGAATTTGAAGGGATTTGTTAACTAACCATTTAATTTACCAAAAGAACCCTTCTACAACTGCTACAAACCGCCCTGTTCTACAAACTACCTCTTTCATGTTTTTAAGTCTCTTATCCAAAATGGTACAGTTTTTTTCTTCTTCTCAAAGTCCCTTCGATAAATTCCAATTTATTCCAAACTGTAAATAGAATCCTATTTTAATTACAATCCAATTCAATTTCCAAATTCCAATTTTTTTTGGTTCCAAACAAAGCGCAAAGGTTTTAGACTTCACAAGTTTGAGAGAGAAGCAGTATAATATTCTGGTAAGGAGTAATTTTGTGTTCCGAGTTTGGTTCCTAACAGGCCTCAGTACAGTGACACCAGAATAAACTCGCATCTTATGTAACAAAAATGGAAAGCTTCAGGAACCTATTATCGGTCAATTGTTGGTGAAACCTTCTTTGTAGGGGGTGGTGTGAGATTCAGTTAGGACTTGCATGGTTTATTTGTTAGAGCGCGTGCACCTCTGTCTTGAGCCTGTCTAGGGCCTTTCTGTCTGACGAACGCAAGTGCAGTAGTTTAGTGTTGGAGCCTGTAAATCTCATGCTGCTAATTGGTTTTTTTGTGGTATATGCAGATTATCCTGTTTGCAGTACTCTTGGGTACGCCTCAAGCATGATTATTGATCTCATTGGTAAGTATTTATTTTTTCCAAATTCTGTTACCGTCTCTTTTATTCCAGATGGGACTGCCTTTCTTTGCTTTATAGCATTATATGAAGGGTAGATCAATGATATAGCTTGGTTGTGGCAATATTGACAGCGTGTGTGTTTTGCTCATGATGCTTTGATTCAAAATGTCACTTAGTACCAACTAGAAAGAAAAAAATGCCACTTAGTACCTGTGATTGTTTTTGGATTACACATGAGCATGCTATTTATTATTAATTTAATAATTTGATTATTTTTTGGTTCATGCATATGGCAGATAAAAACAATCCCCATATGGGTGTCATTGTTAAGATGTCATATATTGGCCCAAACCGCAACTGTTCACTCTCTGTATCTGTTATCTGTGATTCAAATGGAGTTCAAGTGAGAGCTTCTTCCCTCTGTTCTTTCTAAATATTACCATAACCATGTATTTTTATTACACTGGATTGGTTTATGACCATGATTACCTCTTTTTCCTGTTTCCTAGGAACCTCAGGCATTGGAGAAAGTTGGAACTTGTGATTATGTAAGTGCTTTGAATATCTAGAAATCTCATTTAGTCTTTTGATACTTATTGATGCATCTTGATTTTTAGGAGAATTTCGTCAAATACTGGTGCGTGATAACCGGTCTCAATATTCATGGAAAAGAGAGAGAACTAGATAGGGATAAGAAAAAGTAGAGAGAGAAAGGGGGTAGGGGGATGGGAGGGGGGAGGGGGGGGGAGCGTCAAGAGAGAGCTGTTATATAATATTCACTAATATCCATCCATCACTAGTGTATATAAAAATGATGAATTTTTATTTTTTAATGTAGATATATTGGCACTGGTCCTGGAGCTAATTAGTAATCTCTTCGGCAAACCTATCAATTTCTGATATTGTTCTACTTGGATTCTTCTTTTTTAATGTTTGGTTTCAAATGTACCTTTGGCTTGGATGCCCCACTTGCTACTCAGTATGTCAGAATAGAAATCACTTGAACTGTGTCGCTCCGGTTTACATGCTAGACAAACTTGGAAGTAGAAACACAGACTATTCGTAGTTTTCAATGATGTTACTTGTGCATGGACAAAATTTTGACATTGAGATAAGAGGGACAACCATATTATGATTTGGTCTTCACTTGTTGTATTCCAATGGGACGGGGGAAGGGCAGTCACAATTAAAAATAATAATAAACTCTATTCTTTTCAATAATGACAAATATATGGCTTGACATTAACTATCTTAACATAACAAAAACTATAAATTACCAAACACTATTTCACGTCTGGTAAACTTTTGTCAAACTCAAAAGTTGATAAATGATATTCATTTGCACGTTTTATGGTGTTTTAAGTTCCTACCGTGTTTTCTCTGACAGGTTACGCTGCTAAGGCATCCTTCTGGTTGTGCCAATATTGTTTCGATTCATGGAAAAGGATGGGGCTGGTTTGGTACCTTCATAATCCTGTAAGGGGTTTAATTATAGCTCTGGCACATTGCACATTTTACAATTGAATTTAGTTGCTTTACTGCTAGGCTCCATGAGGAGTCATCTCTACTCACTGGTTCCTTTGCTTTTCAGAATCTTATGCCTCTTTATAGGGTATCTACTGTTTGGTGCAGTTTATCGTTTCTTCTTCCTTGGAGTTCGTGGTATAGATGTATGCTTTCTATCTCAATTTTTATTCTAATTTTATTCTTTCCATATGGACTCATGTTGCTTTTGTATATTTCAACTTACTCTGTGCAAATATGTTTCTCTTTCCCCTCGAAAGGAGATAGTAGAAAAATGTATCCCGTACTCCTTCCCTTATGGAATGGCACGATGAGTAAAACTGCGAGGCATGATGCTAATGGACGGGGCCTACAATGACACTAATACAACTGCTATACGGAATGACCCAATGTACTATTCCTATTAGGCTACTTTCCTATTAGACTGATATGAATACATCCTTGGTTTCTTTTTCCTTGGAGTTCGTTGTATAGATGTATGCTTACTATCTCAATTTTGATTCTCATTTTATTCTTTCCATATGGACTTAGGTGACCCTTGCTTTTGTATATTTCCATTTTATCTGTGCAAATATGTTTCTCTTTACCCTCGAAGGGAGATGGTAGGAAAATGTATCCCGTACTCCTTCCCTTGTGGAGTGGCACGATGAGTAAAACTGCGAGGCATGATGCTAATGAACGGGGCCTACAATGACACTAATACAACAACTATACGGAATGACCCAATGCACTATTCCTAGTAGGCTACTTTCCTATGAGACTGATATGAGTACATCCTTGATTTACTATTAGTAGCTAATGGTCTCTCTCTTCCCCAGCCTGCTATTCTTGACGTCCGGATGGAATGTTGTTTATGTTTTTTCACCATATCATTACATTGTCAGTAGTACTATAGAATGGACTTGGTACAAGCTACATCAATAAGCTAAATAATATGAAACAAGGTAACCATGGGTAGAGCTATGGATGAACGAGCTCAAATGTGTTTGGCTTGATGATGTTTCCAAAATAGATGGGCATAGAAAGGGAAATGTTAGAAGAGATTTACTTCAGCTATATTGATGGGAAAGTTTTATGCAAGTGAAGTAGAATTGACTCAGAAAAAGCTACATTAATTTTTTTTTTTTGATAAGTCAGAAAAAGCTACATTAATAAGCTAAATAATGTGAAACAAAACCATATATAGAGCAATGGGTGAATGAGCTCAAGTGTGGTTGGCTTGATGATGTGTCCAAAATAGATGGGCACAGAAAGAGAAACCTTAGAAGAGAATTACTTTAGTTATATTGAATGGAAAATTGTATGCTAATGAAGTCATGATCTACTTGTGGGTAAAATAGAATTTCTGAAATCTTCAGACCAATGAATTAGCATTCTAGCAGTCTCAGCACCTGGTATGAACAGCCATTTTGATGACACTAAATTTCTACTCTGTTGTGTTTGTTTATTAAATTTAGAGGTTTACGGTTAGAATATTTTTAGTTTATTCATTAACTGGAAGAAATTTAGGCATCTTCAGATGTGTGTACCTCCAAAGGGTGGGCTGCAATTCGGTCCCTTTTCTTGTGTCGAAGACTGGTAAAATGAAGAATCCTTCCTAGATTTTTTTTCCCAGCATTTACCCATTCTTATTCCCCGCTTGCTTATGTCTAGTATCTAGTCGAATTTGATTCTCGTCAAACAAAAAACTATTGATGTATTTTATGACATTTAAATCTGGAATACATGACATATTCACGCCAACCCAATTTGTATAGGGTCATAAGCTACATCTTACTTGGATCATTTTAGAAATTATATCAAATATTGTATAAGAGGAGGCTAAACGGAGAAATAGGAAATGGAAATAAATTTTCTGCCAATATTTTATTTGAGAACGGTACTGACTCTCTGTTTCTCTGTGCATTTATGTGTCGGTCATGTCATTTCATTCTGCTGATCTTAGTGTTCTGGTTCTTGCTATATTATTTACACTCTTTATTTTGGTCTGATCAATCGAGATAGTCTCTAGGGCTCTTGTGGATTCTAGAATGGTTTGCTTATTCTATTATGAGTCTCGTCAATTTCTTTATTTTGTAGATACTAATAACCTTAGATTTCACAATTTCATACTTAATTACAGGCTTGATGTTTTATATACATTATTTATATATTTACTTATCAAAAAAAAAAAAAATACATAGATTTATATATTTACATTTGGAATGGAAGTTTATGACTACCTATGCTATACATGATCACTCCATGCAGAAGCATGCGTACCAAATCTATAGTGAGCAACCACCCAAGCATCTAGGCTAGCATTATCTGGGCTTCCCTGGTGTTCAATTTAAATCTTTTTGTAATATGTTTTTCCATATTTTTTCAGGCTGTTCCAAACTTGGATTTTTGGGCCAGCTTGCCACAAAGAGCTCAGGTATTCCGTCAATGTTTAGTTCTCAATACCTTTCTATTTCCTTCTTTAGTTTTATGACATGAAATAAATTACCAGAAGTATAATATTTAAATGTGTGTTTGTTCTTTTATGTTTGGGTACTTCTTTGTTGTTTGTGTCATTTTTGCTTATATTATGGGATACATCACTCCAGTTTAGCCTAAAGCTGAAGTTGTTAGTAAGACTAGAAAAAGTAGAATAAGTTTTTTGGTAACTTGGAGTGGAAGAAATTGGAAGTGCTTGGAGATATCAAGGAATTGAATGTCAAAGAAGGGATTGGGGTTTTACTGCTGCTGGAGTGGTGACATGTGAGGAAAGGAAAGGTTAGATGGACTGGAGTTGTGCGGAAAGGAAGACATTAAGATTGGTATTGTTGTTTGTTTGTTCTTTTTGTGTGTGTGTGTGTGTTTTTTTTTTTATAGAAGAAATTGTATTGAGGTCCTCCGCAGACTCGCAGTGAAGACCTACTGCTAGATGGGGATAGTGTGTGACTACAGAGATCGTTTCAGCAGAGGATGTGGTAGTACTGAGCAATTATAATGAGGTTAGTATAGATGGTATGGTGATGGCTTGTTGCAGCTTTGTTTCGTGCTGGTGAGATGTGATGTGCTTACCATGATGCACTGCTTTCCTGTCACGGGAGAATTTGAGTGGTGATTGAAGCTTCGTTTTGTGCGCCTATCCCTAACGAAGGTAGAATGGTGAACTTGAAAGATGAATCCTTCACTGTGTTTTTAGTGAAGGATGGAAAAATGGATTTTACGAACTACAACTTTTTCAGTCAGGGTTTGTTGGATGTGGTACTAGAGGTACACAAGAGGAAAGGGAGGAGAGAGGAGGAAGAAGGGGGGGGGGGGGGGGTTTGGTGGTGGTTGAGAGGATGTAATGAAGTGGGGATTATAACAGAGGGAGTTTGGATTTCTCATATGGTGAAGGTGTTAAAAAGTATATTGAAGATGTGGAAAATTTCAAACCACAGTGCGATTTTTGGCGAAGAATGGGGTCCGAACCTGTTTCTGGCATGATAAGAGGCACTTTAAAAATAGATGTTCTCAAGTCTTTTTTAAGAGCTGTAAAGAAGGAGCCTCTTGTTGCTGATTCGTTCAGGTTTCAGAGGGAGTGATGGTCCGATACATAAGCGCTTCGTCAGGGTGCTTCAGGATTGGGAGATAGAGACTACTATTTTGTTCTTCAGATTGTTTTATTCCAAGCATGTAGGGGAGGATGATGCCATGGAGTAGGAGGCCTCAAGGAAAAGTATTAAATTTGAGGTCCATTTTATTATAGGAGGAGAAAAGAAGGAATGAAAAAGGAGGGGGGATCATAGTCAATTGGTGTGCAGGGGGATGGGGAGTCATAAGTCACTCTGATGCATTTCTGGTGGCTACTGATTTAGGGGTCTTTCTTCATGCCTGCCTTGGAATGTGCTGGGCTATGCCCAGTTTAGCAGAGTTCAGAGAAAAATGTACCCCCATCTTTGGTGAGTATTTAGCAGGAGAGGAATCAGTGTTCTTTTAATGGAGTAGAGATGTCCATTTGGAGAGTGAAGCATAAGATACTGAGGTTTTTAGGTTTTTTGAGTTAAGGGGTAGGTATTTCTCAGTTTTGATTTTGACTCGTGCGCTTACTCAAATGCAATTTTTAGAGTTTTCGGGAGATATTAATGTTTTGCTTGTATAGGGTTATATTTATAATATATGAGTTGTGCCTCCTGTGGTGCTTTCTTTTATTTATATGTATGTGTGTGTGTGTGTGTGTGTGTATTGAAGTAATAGGTTGCACCCTTGGCCTATATTGGTTGGTGGCCGTATTTGGGCGTCTTGTTTATGGTTTTATTATTATTTTTTTATCCTTTTGCAGAGTTCATTTATGTCTTTAGTGCGGAAATTTAGAGGACCTTCTCAAGGTTATCGAAGCTCCTACTCTCCTGTGAACTTCTAAGCAAACATCCTCTGTCCAATTAATGTTCAATTATCCCAGGTCTTGTGAGCGTTATCCGAGCGAGTGCGATTTTATCTAATTTTGTGGACATTCGTCTTCAATTAATCAAAGCTGCTGCTTCAGTAAGAGTTTTGTATTCTTTGCCACTGTTTTGTTGACATACACCACCATTCAGTGGGAACTTCTTCCCCTGGCAATGGTAATTAATTGATTGTTGTAATCTCTGCTAAAATGTCAGCTGCTGACAAATTCTTTTTACGGCTCTGACAACCATTCAATCATTCATTAGACATTTTTGTACTTCCTTAAAACCCAACTTCAGAAATGCTAGACTATGTAGTTTCAGGTTTCTTTGCTTGGACTACGATGGATAACATTGAAATATATATGATCTTGACCTACATATGAGAGTTCATTTTCCTTGGAAAAAATATATACGTGTGTGTGTGTTGTGTGTGGAAAAGAACAAGGACAAATCATACCATTTTGAATTTTATATACATTACATCATTGGATTGATTCACGTTTTATAATAGGGTTTAGGGTCATCAAACTGTTCAAACTATGCGTTCTTTGATTGCGTGGCAACAAGGTCAATTCTAGATGTAGTATATCCACAATCACTCGCAAATCATGGAATGCAATGTAGCTTAGTTGGTGAAAGTTATAGGCAGTGACACCAAAGATTAAATTCTTACGATACATTCAAGAATTTTGAATTAATCAAGGTCTCTACATGACTCAGATGTGAATCATGTGATGGATACAAAATTAACACGTGATATTAAAAGATCAATTTCTTTTTGATACATTCAAGAATTTTGAATAAATCAAGGTGTGTGGAAGACTCAGATCCGATGGATACAAAATTTTAATTTGATATTTATGCAGCAAACAATGATCTCGATGCATTTTATGTGAATGTTAGAGTATTCTAAGACCATACAATTAAAAACACAAGGGCTAGGTAGGCTACTGCCAATTAGATGCGAGCGGCCTGCACATGTATTCTGACTTAGAACATTTGATCTTTAAGTCACAGTAGAACAATTTTAATGAGACTATATTTTATTCTGATTAGAAATTGTGATCTTTAAATCACGTTGAAACAATTTTTGCCGAGACCATCCAATGTTAATGTATAAAAATACGGTAAGCTGATATCTTATACTAAAAAGAGTTAACGATACAAAAGTAACTATTAATCATATACTATAGGAAGAAAATAAAATCAATCCGTTTAGTTGATCCATCTATTAAAAGTTGGTATGTGTACCTACCCCAAGAAAAAAAAAATGGAAAAAGAAACAATGTTACGTCAGCTGACTCTTAGCTGCACCATTTTTTTGGGTAATGAATAGAGTAGAAGCATATGCCATTGCCAACCAAAATGAAGTTGAAATGTAACCCACAAAAGCTCAATTACCTTCTACCTAAAACCCTAATAAATGAAATTAATCATAAGCTCAATTACCATCTACCTAAAACCTCTATAAATTAAATTAATAATAATATTTAATTCACTTTTTTATACATATAAAAGTGGTGAAAATGATGTGTTATCATTCACAACCACCCTTAGCTTAGAATCCAAGCCAAAATTATAGCTTGACTCTCATCATCATGCATAATGCATTTCCCACTACAGCAACTTCATCACGCCCGCCCTTTTTTAAAAAGTAGATACATAGCTAAAAAATATAATGACACTTGTCTGTCATTTTGGAGTATGACAGACAAGTTGTGATCTTCCGATGAGATGACAGATCACTGTCAACTCTAACAACCATTAACGTTGACTATGAAACTTCATTATGTACCATCCGATACTTGTTTAGTGGTACAATGGAAGGTCAGCAAGGTTTGGACAGACACGTGGGTCCCAATTGTGGGACAATCTGTGTGGAGAATGAGGTGTACTGTTGCCATCGAAAATACTATTACAGTGGAAAATGAGAAAGACATCAAATTTTAGGTATGATTAAGTCAACTTGATATAAAAAAATTACCTAATTTTGAAGAACAATGTTTTTAAATTATCCGAAAATAATTTTTTGTTGAATAAACTCTAAAAATCTTTTTCTTATAATTGATGTATGCAAATCTCATGTGAGTATATGTTCTATGGCTTAGTAAAAATGGTACTAGGATTATACATCATATCAAAATAAAATAAAATAAAATAAAAAGGGAAAATAAGGTGTTCTTCACTAATTCAAATCAGTAACTAATATTCAATAAAATAAGGTAATTGATTTGATTAACATAGATTATCTTTATTGTCCTCTGTCTTTTCTTTTCTTTTTCTTTTTTTGGGATCAAATGCAATCGATATTCACTTTTTATTAATGATATAATCCAGCGTTATTTGCTAAACCACCATAAAAAACGTAAAACATTAAATGGGATTCGGAATGTTTGTTAGAAAACCTCTTAAACCAATAAATTTTATATAAAATAAGGTTTTTTATATAAAAATAAATACTTAACATTGAAAATTGTCGAATTCTAACTAGTGGAGCAATTAGGTTGTCCTCAATTGTCTTTGATAATCCAGTTTCAAACTTTCACATCTCTAACTTATAATCTAACATTCTTATCTTAAATAATAATAATAATAATGATAATAAATAAATAAATATAAAATGAAATTTTAAATTTACCAAAGTTGTATTATGGATTCGAGAGCCACTTTCTCAATAAAAAAAAACTAATGAGTACCAGCAATATGTTTATATATTTTGACTTCTCGTCCGAACCTATATTGATCTTATTTATTGTACCACACAGAACATATGTCGCAACACTCGCATAAACTTCTAAAACACAAGAAATTAAGCCAAAAAAGAGCCTTCAAACAGATGAAGCCACCTTTCTCTTCTTCTTCTTCCTCCTCCACTTTCTCTCTCCTCAGAAAAGTACGTTTCTCTCACTACCTCTTCACCTTAGTTGCATTCATCCTTTTCGTCACCATCCTCTACAGCGAAGACTTCAGCTGCGTCTTCAGCTCCACGTATCCAACCCGACCCATCTCAAGATACGGTACAGGTGAGTCCACTCGCTCCACCAACACTCTTCGATTTTTTTAAAAGTCATTGTTTTGTTGGTTCAAAGTTGGTGACTCACTGTGTTGGGTTTTGTATGTAATTGTGTTGTGTTAGAGAAGAAAAGAGAAAAGTTGGCGTTCGCCGTTGGAAAGACCGAGAAGGATTGCGACGTGTTCAGCGGCAGGTGGGTTCGGGATGAGTTGACTCGGCCGCTTTATGACGAGTCGGAGTGTCCGTATATACAGCCACAGTTGACTTGTCAAGAACACGGTCGACCTGATAAGGAGTATCAATACTGGAGATGGCAGCCTCATGGTTGTTCTCTTCCGAGGTTCGTTTTTATTTTTCAATATTTTGAGAATGAAAATAAATAGTTCATAACTCACTATTATTAATTGTTTTGACCTTCATTATATATTACTCAGTATTATTATTTTAAGGGTGTTAAAAAAAAAAAGTGAACTAAATACTGGATAAATTTAACTAAATTTTGGCATTTATTGATTCTTTTCAAAATTAACTTTTGTAATTTATTTTTGTTCCTAATAAGCCAATTAATATCAGTAACGGAAACTAAAATGTATATTGACGTATATTTGACTCTCTCCATAATCAAAATGCCGTGCACCCTTCTTCTTATAGTTCAAGCGCTATTAGAAAAATACCAACAATTTTTTTTAGCCAAATACAATAAAACTAAGAGTAAATAATTGGGCCAAAATCTTCTGTTGAAGATTTCGACTGAAAAAAATATATTTCTTAACCAAATGACGTGTTGGGGGCCTGCTAGTGGACTAATTAATTTATTGTGAAATTGGAGGTTAGGGTTTGGTTAGTTCAACTAAACCCTACCATAACAACTGGCTCGAGAAAGTGGGTCCCTAACTTAGGTTTGCCCGACCTTTTAATATTCTTTAGGGCATTATGTTTATTTTTGGTGATTCTAATTTCTAACCTTATCGGCCCCTTTTTAAGCCTAATTCACATTATTAAGGCCAATTTTCTTCCTCATTTTTTTTTAATTTTTTTTTTTAACAAAACAAGAAGGATTAGAAGTTAAATTAGTAAATGCAATAGTTGAAATTTAACACTCCAGAGTTCACCCACTGAACTATCATAGATCTACAAAATTAAATAAATAAATAAAACACTTTGGAAGACTACATTTCTTCCTCATGACCTTTTTTTTTTTTTTATTATTAATTGTGGTTGTATAAATGAAAAGAAAATATGTACAAAAGTTACATAGGGCATACCCTCATAAAGGAAAGGCACCAATAAGAGTTGACCAAAACATATTTTCATTGTTATACAATACAAGAACACCTGGAAAGTTGACCAATTTTAAGATTCATTGATTATTCCAAAGCAACCCAACAATGGAACACCATCAACTGGTCCGTCCTCTGCTCTTTACCGTTATAACTTACAAGCAGCAAGAGGATGTCATGAGTTCTTTTTATTGACAATTAAATTGAGAGATTTATTAAAAAAATAATTTCACTTTTGACAATTCCAAAAACATGTTCCAATTAATAGAGATCTTTTTTATAATAACATTACTCTATAAAATATGACATCTAAAAGACTAGGATGACTATTGAGATTAGTTTGTCAATATGTGTGTGTATGTTCAGAGAGAAAGCATGTCTTAAACAATGGTATATTATCCGAAAAGACTAGGATGACCGTTGACATTACTCTTTGATGAATTGAATGGATGCTATCTTAGGTTGTATGGAATGGAATTGGTACCTTGAAAATGAACTGATATTACAAAAATTTCAATTCTAAAGTACCAATTCCACATTTGCATGTAACCAAACATAGCACGAGTTAATTTTATGCCAGAGAGGAGTGGGAAAGATTTTAATGATTAATGAATTTATCTTCAATGAACATAGCATATGATAACATATAAGTAACACTGTTCTTGTCAAAACTTATGCAGTTTCAATGCAACATTAATGCTGGAAACACTTCGAGGGAAGAGGATGCTGTTTGTCGGCGACTCCCTCAACCGGGGTCAGTACGTTTCCATGGTCTGCCTTCTCCATTCACTCATTCCCGAAAACGCCAAATCCATGGAAACTAACGGTTCACTAACTATTTTCACAGCCAAGGTATATATCACACACACACACAAATGTATGACATGACACTGTTTTAATAAAGTATTAGTCTTTAACCAATTTTGTGTGATCATATGTTTTTTGTTTTTTTGTTTTTAATTAGGATTACAATGCAACGATTGAGTTCTACTGGGCACCATTCCTTCTTGAGTCAAATTCAGATGATGCTATCGTTCATAGGATTTCTGATAGAATGGTTAAGAAAGGTTCAATCAATAAGCATGGAAAACATTGGAAAGGAGCTGACATTTTGGTGTTCAATACCTATCTCTGGTGGATGACTGGCCTCAAGTTTAAAATCTTGTAAACTTCTTTATCTTTAATTACCATGCCATCAATTTCAATTCATTTTTTTTTCTTTCCTTTTTTCTCGGGGAAAACGACTAGTCCTACCACTGGACTATTAGTTGAGCTCGTATAATCTCTGGTCTCCTCCCTCAAAAGAGAGTGAGGAGCTCGAGTCTCATAGTGGGCATTTGTCGGTGTGTGAAACTGGACTAGTAGTCGAGTTAGTATAACTTCTCCAGTCTCCTCCCTCAAAAGAGAGTGAGGAACTTGAGTCGGGTATTTGTCGGTGTGTGAAATTGGACCAGCACTAATCACTCTTACTTATCTTTATACAGGCAAGGGTCTTTCGACGATGAAGTGATGAACACTGTGGAGGTGTCGACAGAGGATGCTTATCGTATGGGAATGAGAAGTATGTTGAGATGGGTGAGGAAGAATATGGATCCTAAGAAGACTAGGGTTTTCTTCACCAGCATGTCACCTTCTCATCAAAAGTGAGTACAACTACTGCCTCTATTATTATTGTCTTCATCATGCATTGGTGCAGAGACATAAATTAGTTTTTTTCTTAACTCTCGCTACTCAAATGGACGGTAAAAGATGCATCTTTTGGATTCGGAGGATGTCGACGAGGGGAAAGGTGTAACTTGTTTGGGGAAAGATGTAGCTTGTTTGGTTAAGCTTTTGGAGAAAAGCTTTTATTTTTATTTTTTGATAACTAAAAATAAAAAATACTATAAATATGTTCTTGATAGTGGGACCCACGTCCCCCTCCGTCACCGCCGTCCGAATTGGGAATATGTGTGATGACTCTAAATTAACTAGAAGGTGTAGCTTGTTTAGTTCAGCTTTTCAAGAATAATTTTTTATTTTTTGATAACTAAAATTCAAAAAATTGTACAAATATGTTTGGTTGACAAGTTTTCAAATCTATTTCCTGAAAACTAAGATTAAAAATAATAATAATAAAGATTGTTTCACATAATGGGAAACAATGTTTTATTTTCCGATTTATTCGGAACTATTTTTTAAAAACTAAACCAAATACCTTTTAGGAAGCAATGAAAGAAATTTGGGAGGGAGATGGTGCAAACACCAGTGAGGACAGTCAATTTTTGAGGTTTGTCATGGAGGATCATTGATTGAATATACACATTGTGTGTGTTTGGCAGGAGCATAGATTGGGGAGACGATTCAAATGGCAATTGTTACAATCAAACAACACCGATTGAAGATCCAAAGTACTGGGGATCAGATTCAAGAAGGAGCATAATGCAAGTGATTGGTGAAGCATTTAGTAAATCAAAAGTGCCCATTACATTCCTCAACATCACACAGCTCTCGGGTTACCGAAAGGACGCGCACACGTCGATCTACAAGAAGCAATGGAGCCCCCTGACCCCCGACCAGCTAGCTAATCCGGTTAGCTATGCCGATTGCGTGCATTGGTGTCTGCCTGGGCTTCAAGATACTTGGAATGAGCTTCTATTTGCCAAGCTTTTCTATCCATAGTGATGGAGCTAGCCAAACTCGATCTTGTAATTGTGTGATAAATAGTTCTTCACATGGCATTTGGTTAAAAAGTTTGAGCAATGCCCATTTTGAGAAGGAGAAAACCAGAAAAGGATTGGAAGAACATAGAGGATCTGTGTGTATACTAATTAATTGTTGCAAAGAAATATGACAAGAATTTAGCGTTGATTCTTTTTGGAACTATGGAGTACAAGCAAAAAAATACGAGCGTTTTTTATGGTTACTCCAGTGCCATGATATAAATTAAAAAAAAAAAAAAAAAAAACTATTATCTATAGGTCTTAATTTTAAAAAATGATAGAACATTTTATATCAATTTTTTTAAAATTTAAAACATTTATCAAAGGCAAGAGTTGGTGGTGTGGAAGATTGACAGAACTGGTCGACGGAAAAGTAGAACTTATCAATATTTTAATTTTTTTTTTTTTTTTTAATAAATTCCATTAGCAAAAATGTCATGTGTCAACTAGAGAGATGCCCATACAATAGGTATCAAGATGTTTGGAGGAATTTATATCCAAATTCCAGAAATATTTTATTTCTAAATGTTAGAATTTACAACACTATTTTTATTTATTATGGGAATAGAAAAATATAATTGTTGCTCACTAAGTTATACAATTATTTTTCTCAATGAGTGTCGTCTGCACACTTCAGATGTGCTCATGCTTCACGTTCTGCGCATGCTTTCATTCCTGTCCTCACTTTATATGACTTAGATTTTGTCACTTTGGCGCTCTGGCTCTCAAATTCGCTCTCACTCCTGCTTAACTTCGGTTGCTCATATTAGGGGTGGCAACTCGTGTTTTTGGGTCATAATCGTGTCGTGTCCATGTAAGAGTATTATACTAAACAGGTAAACCCAAATCCGACTCATTTAATAATAGTGTTAAGAACTCTCAACACTAACTTGATCTGTTTATTAAACGGGTTAATGTATTAACTTGTTTAATGATTTATTTATCAAAACAAAACATTTAATATTTAATATTTAATCAAATAATAAATACTAAAAAAAATTATCACATTTAACCTAAGTATTCAAAATAAGAAGAAAAGTGGTCGAGGTTTATGTTGAAATGAGTTAACTGTCCATAATAATTGGATTTAAACAGGTAACATATTTCATAGGTCATATTTATGACTATAATATGTTGAGTTCAACGGATCTTAAACGGGTTATATGGGTTGAACCCCTTCACCCTAACTTGACACGATTAAGTAAACGGATTAATTATGTCAACTTGTTTATGACCCAAATCCTTTTAAGGTCAACTCAAATCCGTTTATCTCGTGTCGTGTTCGAGTTGTGTTGGCGGGTCGTGTTTTAATTTGCCACCCCTAACTCATATACAAAAGGACTTGGCCTAATAAGTATTAATTGCTATGAAGCACGAACACCCCTCCTAGGGGCCCCATACCATTGTTGGACATAGGTCCGACACGAACACACGTGTCTGACACTTCTGTGAAATGTTCAAAAATTATTTTTTATTGGACACGGCTTGGACACGCGGGGGACACAGCTGAGATACGTGGAAGACACATACCGAACATGGCAGGGTATATTTTGTAATTTTTTTAATAAAAATTGGGGTACTTAATGTAATTTTAGAAGTTTAACTCTTTTAACTCTTTTGTGTTAGATTCTAAATTTCAACTTTTATTAAATTTTATGATTCCATTATGTTTATTTTTTTATTTGATTCATTTATCTCACTACTGGAATTAAATAAACTTTTAGACCGTAGCAAGAAAAACAGAGAGAAATAAAAACAATTATATTTGTGGATGTGTGTAAAATGTAAATTGTAAAGTTGATAACTTTACTTTGTTCTTAATTAATTGAAGTAGTTCTTTTATTGCAGTATTTTTTTTTTTTTTTTTGGGAGGTTAGATTTATGGCATTGTAGATTTTGAATATATATATATATATATATATATATATATATATATATATATATAATTTTATAGGCATATCCCTATCATGTCAGTGTCTTATTTTTTAAAAAATTTATTGTATAGCATCCGTGTCGTGTCGTACTTCATATACTAATTGTGATTGGTCCAACTATGAACCTTTTGTTTTTAGGCGAAGAAATGACATACACATGATATAAAATAAAGTGGGAGGCTTTGGAAATGCAATGTGTTGACTTGAGACGACCCTTTGCTGGTTTGCAAGGCTGTGTGAAACTCTGGTTCGGCCCTGTTCCCATTCAAAACACGATATTTGATATTTGATGGAGGCTTCAAAAATTTGCCACTTCTGATCTTAGTTATGTGAGTAGACATGACAACGAGGTTACTCATACCAAAGACAAACTCTTCAGAAGCCATATTCATGAAGATTCAATTCTGGTGCATGTTCTATGATATATTCATTTTGGTGCATGTTCTATGGGACATTCTCCTTTTAGCAGATAAGGAGGCTAGATATTCTATAAGTTTATCCTGATTTTTGTGATTTATTGGTCCTTGCTGTCTGCCTTGAAATAAATTATGTATAAAAAAAAATGTATTGATTTTGAGTTACCCATTTTGACAATTACCCTCAGGGATGGTAGACCAACACAACAATCGGACAAGTTTGGAGTTAACTATTAACTTTTATGATAAATTAACACGGATTTCTCTTAAAGTTTGGATAAATTATGTATTGATAGATTGTTCAATATTTATAGCTTTAATCTATCATGAGATTTGACATGTGTGCTCAACACACCTCTCGTGTTGTCTTTCCAACAGACTTGTAGTCTGTATTTTATAAAATGACAATTTTGTCATTACCTTGTATGAAAATCAGGATATTATTGATTTTTAATGTCCATAAATTTATTATTATTATTATTATTTACTTGGCTGTGATGTTTCCTAATTTTGTTATTTATTTATTTATTTCTTTTATTGTATTGTCTTGTTGCTGTAATATATATAATGATGTGGGGATAGGATAGTCTTTTGGCATTGCAATGGCATAGAGGTGATTTAGGATGGTTTGGGAAGGCATTTAAGTCCAATTGCAGGGTCACACATTTGACCACTTCTATACTTCACACATGCACCACACTTGGCAGTTCTTTCTCATGCAAAGGACACCTATACACTCGATGGCAGCATTCAATTTCTTCTTCTCTCTTCTTTCTTCTTTCTTCTCTTCTTCTTTCCTCCATTAGAGCTTGTGTTTGGAGCTTAATTTTGATAACTTTCTAGAAAGATTTTAGGGCTGCCATAAGAACATAAAATGTTCCTTGGAGAGAGGATTTTCCATTGATGTAAAAAAAATCCACACCATTCCTTCATAGCTGAATTTTAAAATTACCTTGGAAGTGGGTTGTTGGTTGGTGCTTCCTCTTTCTTTCTCCTTTCCATTGGTGGTTCTAGTTGATCAATTGGAGGCTATTTTGTGGGTATTAGCTTGACTTGAGGTAGGAGTTGTTCTAACTCTCACAACCTTTGTTTCGAGTGAATTAATCTCCTCTAAATTGAACCTCCTTTCAAGCACGTTAAGTATGATTTACAAACTGAAATTTCTAGCTCTTGTCATGGAGTGTAATATGTACTATAAATTGAATTTTTGTTTCTCTAATGTTTGACATATCTTATGGGTTGAAATTGAAAAATTAAAACTGAAAAGCAGTACTCATAATTGTTGTAATGTACTTACTACAAAAACTGAAAATTTCTTGCCTAGTGTACCTCAAATTTTGGGACTGTTTTATGTAATTAGAAATCTGAAATTTGAGCTTGTATAATGATGGTGTATTATGTGCTCAAAACTGAAATTTTACATGTTTAATAGTATATTTATGCAAGTGTATGAATGTTTTTGAATTGCTATATGTTTACTATGTTCACTTTGCCTTGTAAATTATGTGGAGTTGATGACAATGTGAGTGAGTTTATTACATGAAAGCTACCTTGATAATTTTTTTTGCTAGAAACCTATTTTGTTAAACTGAGTTTTTATGTAGAAATGCTGCAATATTACGACATTGAAAGGCATGTGTTATTCATGCATTACATTGGGTATCAAATGGGGCAAAAGCTGAATTTTGGAAGGAGGAAATTTTGTTTTGAAAGAAAGAAATCTGATTTTTTTTTTGTTTTGGGAAAATGTTTTGAAAGATTGTTTGCGAAAACCGAACAGCAAGGAGTTACCTTGTGTCCGTGTCGTTAATGGGACCTAGAGGGGACGTAGAAAGCTTGTTACTAAGCCCCAAATGACGCTAAGGGGTTACCTTAGGTCAGGGACAGTGACCAATCCTCTTCTCGTGGCGCCGGGGAGTTACCTCAGGCCGGGTTACATTAACGGTTTAACGATTGAGGCGTTGGATGGAATTGTGGAACTGGGAAGTGGCATTGATATTTCATTCGCATTGCATATCATTTCATTCATAGAATTGCATTGAAGAATGATTGTATCTCCCGGCAAACATGATCCATTTTACTTATAGCTATTCTTTGTGTGGATTCGTGGAAGTATTAAAGAGTGCGTTTTAGGCAACTTCTACTGAGCCATTGCGCTCACTCCATCAGTATTATATTTTTTTCAGGTCATGGAAAAGAGGTCGTTGAAGACATCCCTCCGCAAGCTTAGATGGATTTGAACTATCACATATGACTTTTCTTTTGTATCACTGTATATGTTATATCTATGTGGAGTCTTGTATAGTTTGATCATGTAATAGCAGTAGTACTTGTCTTAAAGGCCTGTAATTAATGGACTTTAAGGGCTTATGTTTTGGGATATATATATATTCGGGGAAACTTATGAATGTTCATTTATAACTTTTCAGTTTCATTTTCCATTCTGTTGTGTGTACATTGAAATGTACACTTGGGACAAGTTTGGGGTGTTTCATTGGCAAGAGGAGATGATGGGATAACCTGGACTCCTAAATGACTCCAGGAGTGTCTCTACCAATTGTACTACCGAACTCACCCTGTCACATAATATATTTCTTTTCTTTTCTTTAAATTTCTCTTTACACGTAAATCATGTATATTAGGTCGTTGATTTAGAAGCTAACGTTTCGATAAATTTAAAATTTTTTAGACATAAAAAAATCTCGCAATTAAAACTAAACATGTTTTTGACTGGATTGACCTTATACCAAGATGTTTGGTAATAAAATTTATTCTTCCAACTTAAATATGTTAGAGTTTTAGAATCTCTC